CTTGAAGTAGCATCTCATTTTAGCCTATGTTGTGTCCATTTCAGCATGTTCTTGGGCTTATTTTATCATGTCATACCTTTGTTTAGGTTTGGTTTGGTTAGCCCTTGCATGCTCCATACACTTGCCATGCAATCCCATGAAATAGCCTAACATGCGTCATGTTGTGACATGTCTTTTTAGCATGCTTTTGGCTTGACTTCAAGAAGATTTTATCCATGTTTTGGTATGCTTGAGGTCTGATTTTGGTTGTCTTGGTCACCCATGACTTGTTTTGCATAGCTTTGGTTCAATCTTGCTTGTAAGCTTTGTGTATTGAGTCATTTAGTATGCATTACTTGGCCTATTTCAATGATGTGGCATCATTTGTAGTGTAATTTCAGTCTATGTTTCATGGTCATGCACATGCATTTATCACTCTTTAAATGCGTTTGAGAGTTGTGTTTGTATGCCTCATTTATGGACCATTGCATGAGCTTCATCTTTGTGCGTTCTGAGCCACCATCCCAACACATTTTGCCACTGATTTTGGCCTGCATCAGGTCTGTTTGGGGTTGGTTTCATCATTTGAGCATCGCTTTGCATGTCTATAGTGTATTGCATTTCACTAGCTTCAGTGTTTGAGTCTTTAACAATGCATTACATGAGTGTTTGCATGCTTCAGAGTCATTTTGGGGCCATTTAGTATGCCATTTCAGAGCTGTAATGTATGCCATTGTATGCCATGTTTCATCCTTGCATTGCTCTTGGAGAGTTGCATTTTGTGCCTTAGGCTTGGAGCCCTTGTATTGCGCATGTTTGCATGAATCTTGGGCCTTGTTCTCATCTCATTTGGCCACTGATTTTGGCATGCTTAAGAGCTACCCATGTTAGTGTAAGTCCATCTCACCATATTGTTGCATGCTTGTTTCATTTTGCATGTTGTTGCATGCTATACATGTCCACATGTTTAGGATGTATACCTATTGCATATTGCATGTTAACATGCTCATGTTGCATTAGATTTGTTGCACACTTGAGTTATTTGCATGTTTGCTTCCTTGCCTAGGTTGCATTGCATTGTGTGTGCATCCCTTGCCTCTTGATCAATCATGATAGAGGTTGGGGCCCTTTATGTGTTTTGTGCATTTCATTCCATATTGAGTTGCATACTTGGCTTTTTTGGCCATCATGCATTGAAATGCGTGATTGGTGGCCCGAGGGTCGAGAGCCATACTCCCTTGAGTTTATAGCATGATAGGGAGGGTGGTCGTGCATACATTGCCTTGTAAATTCTTTGCCATGCACTGTCTGTCCTCTGCTGCAGCAAAACCAATATTCTGAAGGAATAAATGGCCGGTCGGCAACTTTCAGTGCCGGCCGACTATAAATACCCAGCCGGTGGTCCCATTTTTGGTCGATGACCATATTTCCATGGCCGGTGGTGTCTTCTCTCGGTCGGTGGCATCCCAAAGTGTTCAGGGAGTGGTTCAGAAGCAACCTTAAGATTTTCCACAATCATCAGAGGTGCAGAACAGTGCAAACAGAGGCAACAGAGGCATGGCAACGGGTTTCCGAGCGAGGCGAATCAAGCATGCATGCATTTGACCCTCTTCCCGAGGCAGCTTTACTACTTTAATAGCTTAATTAATTTGTTAATTAATTAAGGGTCTGTAATATTTAATTAGCTTGTTAGTTAATTAATTTGTATTATTCATTCGGACCCTCCGAGAGAGAGCAATGTTGTAATAAGTGTGCGTGAGTGTGTGCATGTCTTCTAACCCCTACTTCTTTCTCCCTTTTACTTACCTGCTTTCAATGGTTAGTTTTAGGGCACGTTTCAATTAGCATACTTATGATAGCATGTTTGCGTCATTCATCTGTATTGCATGCACCGGGCTCGGCGCATTATGCTAACTGCATTGTATTTCAGTTCCAAGTTGAATACATGTATTGGATTGTCGCACCTCATATGCCATTCTTAGGATAGCCGAGCCTATCTTAGTTGCATTTTGCATGCGTTGCATTAGCCATCTTAACATGAACTAGGATCATGCATGATTACTAACTAGTTTCTTGTTTTGGCTCGGAGTACACTGTAACTGTTTATGCTTTAGCATCTCGCATGAGTGTGAATGTTAACATGACAACATGTTTTTAATGAGGCTAATTGCTTAGGTGATATAACTGCCTGAATGCCTGTGGGTGAAGGTTGGATTGCTTGAATTGGGATAATTCATTAAAATCCGTGTTTTAGCCTACTTACGAGTAGCAAACTTCAAATCATTTTCCAAACAAACGGATATGCGATGCTTTGTTCCAAATTAGGCGATCTAGTCTATACTTGTTTTGCTGCGCGCATCACATAGTAATTCTGGCTAATTAATCGGAATAAGAACGCATGTGTTTTCAAAAACGAGATATCATGTTTAGTAGTGGCCGATCTTTGATCGGGCGAGCTGGGGTGCTCATAGATGACCTTCCCCAATCGTACCCAAGTTCCCGAGCCGAGGCAACTTTGGTGATGACGGACCTATGGCCTTAGGCAACGAGTCAAGGTTTCATAAATTTCCCAAAAATAAAACATTTAGATGGCGACTCTGTATCTGGAAAAGCAGTCCATGTTTGGCACTTCTTTTTAAAAATCTGTTTTTCAAAACGATTTGCCAGATTTGGACTCTTTGGTGATTTATCAATCTCACATCGCACATTGTGAGATCAGATTAAGAACCATGACAATTTGAGTCCGAACTTTAGTGAGCCCAAATGAACAAAACGGGATTCCCTCCCGGGATGTTCGGGGACATCTACAGCCATATAGTTCATGTGCATTGAGTATGTCATTCTTAGTTCATAGCATTGTGTATGCTAGTTGCATGTTTGCATATCATCCCTCGCATGCTAGCATGATTAGGTTGCATTACGTTTAGGGTTGCATGTTAATCGTATTGTGTATGCCATGTATATTGCATTGTGTTTGGAATAGGGTTTAGTCCAAACACGGGAAACGAGGGACGTTTCGTACTCCAAGTGACGAAACGTGCCTCGATTCTCGGTCGCTGGCACTCCGGATCACCCATGATGGAGTTTAGGCCTTGTTGTGTTTATATGTGCATTCATTTTACATCGAGTCGTGCAATCCGACTCCTCGGCCATCATGCATCGAGATGCGTGATTGGTGGCACGGGGATCGAGGACTACACTCCCTGGTGCTTGTGCAATGATGGGGAGGGTGGTCATGCACACATATGTTGAAAAGACTTTGCCATGCCCCTTTCTCACTCTCTGCTGCAGCAAACCGGAAACCAGCAGCAAAAACTAGTCAGCAGCCTTCTGGAGCTTTGTACAGTGTTCTGGGACCAGTTGCAAACAGAGACAAATCGGGGCATCGTGATGGATTTCTCGACAAGGCGACTTGAGCATGCATGCATCCCTATCATTCGGAACAGAGCTGAGGCAGTCCATTTTGTTTAATTTGCATGCTAGTTTCCTTACTTACTTAGTTAATTCGTTAATTAATTAATGTTGTGTAATAATTAGTTTAATTAGCTTAGATTAGCTAGTTTATTCTGTACTATTCATTCGGACTCTCCGAAGAGGGCAATGTTGTAATAAGTGTGCGTGTGTGTGTGATGCATGTCTTCCAACCCCACATCTTTCTCCATTTTATGTACCAACTTATGATGGCTAGTTTAGAGCACGTTTCAATTAGCATACTTACGCTCGCATGTTTGCATCCATTTATCTGTCTTGCATGCACCGGGCTCGGCGCATCATACTAATTGCATTGTATTTCAATTCCGAGTTGAATACGTGTATCAGTTGTTGCATTTAATATGCTATTTTAGAATAGCCGAGCCTATCTTAGTTGCATTTTTGCATGTGTTGCATTAGGCATTTCAGCATAGTTAGGACTCATGCATGATTTCTAATTAACTTCTTTCTTTGGCTTGGAGTACTCGGTAAGTATTTATGCTTTAGCATCCTTGCATGCGTGTGAGTGACTACCCTGATAGCATACTTACCATGAGGCTATTTGCTTATGTGATGTAACTGCCTGAATGCCTGTGGGTGAAGGTTGGGTTTTTTGAATTGGAACAATTCACCAACTGAGAGTTTTAAGCCCACTTGAGAGTGGCAAAATCATGTTTTCTTAAGCCCACTTGAGTGTGGCAAATCCACGTCTTAGCCTACTTACGAATAGCACTATCAAACCATCTTTCAAATGAACAAACATGAAATGTTTTGTTCCAACTCAAACGATCCAGTCTATACTTGTATGTTGTGTGCATCACATAGTAATTCTAGGCTAATAACCGGAATAAGAGCACATAATGTTTTCAAAACTCGATATCATGGTTAGTAGAGACCGATCTTTGATCGGGTGAGCGGGGGTGCTCACGAAGTGATCTTCCCCAATCGTACCCAAGTTCCCGAACAGAGGCAACTTTGGTGATGACGGACACGTGGCCTTAGGCACGAGTCAGGGTTTCCTAAATTCCCCCAAAATAAAATATTTAGGTGGCGACTCTGTATCTGGAAAAGCAGTCAATGTTTGACACTTCTTTCTAAAAATTAGTTTTTCAAAACGACTTGCCAGATTTGGACTCTTTGATGATTCATCGGTCTTGCATTGCACTATGCGAGATTAGATTAAGAACCGTGACATCGAGTCCGAACTGTAGTGAGCCCAACGAACATAACGGGATTCCCTCCCGAGACATTCGGGGACGTCTACAGATATTATCGTATAATATAATATATGCATATATATCTAATATTATATATATAATTCAATTTGTAGAGGATTTGATCTAGTTAGATTCGATTTCATTATATTACTGTAGATAAGTTATCTGTATTACCACACTTAAGCCTTCTCCTTCACTATATAAAAGACCTCATATTCATATGCTTATTATTTAATGTAATATATATTCACTCATTCTCTCATTTGTTTATCATATTTAACTACATACATACATATATTCATGCACAAAGATTTTATATGGCAGTGGCTGTACCTCGTGAGCACTTAGATTGATGGGTTGAGTAGACATTGTTGGTTCAGGGATGATTCCATGCTGCTTCTTTCCAAAACTCTTGATAGAGCGTGCTCTGAGTATTTCTTTCCTTTTTGTTCTTCTAATGGGAATAGTTCCTTCTGGGCACCTTCCATTTAAGTGCCATAGCTGAGTAATTGACTTTGATATTCCTTCATTGGACTTTGGAATGGATTCTTTGTTCTCCTCAAATAGCCCTTCTGGGTGGTAACTTGGCCTCATCTATTATTGGCACAAAATACTCCATTAGAAATGGGTAAGCTTTAGCCCTAACAGTAAGGATCTTGTAGTTAATAGTTGGAGCAGATTTGAGAAACAAAAACATTAAAAATGGGTAAGTTTTCACCCTAATTGTAAGACTTGTAGTTAGTGTCTGAATTGGGGGGGTGGTACGTCCATTAGGCAGTTAAACAACTGGTTAAGGACCCATATTTGAAAAAGTCTCAAGTTTTTAAGCCACTTTAATAGTAATATTATATACGGTGCTATTAAGCAAAAGGTTGGGTGCATCTTTTTTTTTTTTTTTTTCGAGTTTAAAAATAAAGTTAACAAGGTCTCACATGCTCAAATCATTCCATATTTGTACTTAATTAAATATATAAAAGACATATATACTAAATATTCTAGATAAAAGAAATTTATATTCTGGCCCAAAAAATAGTCATGTGTTAGAAACCTAACATCTTCCCTCTAAAGTTGATTGTAAAATTATTTAGTAAATTGAAAAAATATGTTAGAAAATTTTTATTGTAAACACTTAATTAGTAATTTAGTATCTCATAAACACTTAGAAAATACGTTAGATAATGATTTTTTTGGCAACTGTAATTTGAAATTAAAGTAGGACCCAACCGCTGGTTGAGGTGGGTCTGAGTGGTTTTGTATTATCTTAAGTGAAAAGATTGCAATACAAAAGTAACGAGCCGAAACCATTGAGTGGTAAATAAGAATTGTCTCATAAAGTAAACATCAATAAAGTTGGGCTTAGATTTGGAATTAATCTTGATTTGGACTGGGCTAGGCTTGTGTTTGTGCATGTGCTGGGTTTGGTCTTGGTCTTGGACGTGGACTTGGACATGGACTTGGACTTAATCTTGAGCTTGGGCTAAGCTATGTTCTAGCTTGTGCATGTGTTTGAGGCTTTGATCGAGTTGTGACCTAACATTAACATTAGTATCCATTTTGTAACCCATCTATTTGGTTTATTCAAATATCATTATATAAATATTTATTTGTATATATTAAGTACATGAGAAATGTAAATTTTTGTAACTCTCGTCATTTGATGATAGAGTTGATGATCATATTAGTGGCCATAGATTTTCAACATTTGTAACTCTAACCCCAATAGCTAGAATTGATGGCCTTGCTTAATGGCATTTGATGGTCCTAGTGATGTGTACCCTTCATGGTTAGGGATTCCCCCACTTGTATAAATAGAGACATTTCCCCTCCAACTTGGTAGAATAAGTTTTGAGAGATTTTGGATGGAAAATGGAGATGGTGTTTTGAGATAAAAAGTTGGAGATATTTTGTTTATTTTTTTTTTACGTCAAAGGAAATGCTTCCTATCTTTTTTTGCTAACCCCTTCTTTGGTTCTTGTTAGAGAAAGTGTATCCATTGTCAAGTTCGCCGAAACTATTCAGAAGATGATTCTGCATTAGCTGGTTTTAACCATGGTATCCCGGGAGATGGACGCAAGCATACCGCGGTGAATCTGTTTTAAAGAAACTGTGATGTCATACATGCTTTGATTTGTTTCTTTTCTTATCATTTGTTCTTAAATTTTTCAGAATTTAGTTTAACTTGATGAGTTCTAATATTTATTTATTCATGTTAATAGTTTGTTCTATTAGTAATATAATATAATTCATTTATATATTTTTAGTTGTGTAGTTTATTCTATATTTCATTCTTTAATATATATAAAAAAATATTTTGTCATTTCTATTTAATTGATTTTATGTATTTTTTTTTGTACTTTTATGGAAAAATACCAACACACATTACAACTTTCACCACAAAAAATTCAACCTTTCCAATGATGTGCATTTTTTTAGAGGTGTACATGGTTACATTTCCCAAATTTTATATATTTGCCATTATATTGACAAAATTAATTCAAAATAATCAAATTGCAGCCAAAAACAAAATATTGGGACATCAATACTATAGCTTCAATAAAATAGTCAATAAAACTCGTATATTCTTTTTTACTCACTAATGTGAAACTTCTAATATAATTAAAATAGATTATGTTTCAGTTTTTAAAATGCATTATTGCATGCAATATGAATTAGTAAAATATTTAGTTTGTATAATATTTTCTTTCTAAAAGACTGAACAATTTGTATAAATTTGATTGCTATTATTACCTCTAATATAAACGTCAAAACTTTTTTTTTTTTCTCGGATTCAATTTGTTATAATCCAAAACTTTTAAATAAAACTACACATACATTACCAAACCTTTTTGGAAGTCGAGTGTAGTTCTACCCTTGCATATGTCAGCATATTGTTGATGTAATGAGTCCCACCATTAATGTTTTTCTTTAATATACTGTTCACATATTATATGGTACGCTAAGCATGGTATTAAAGGAGAAAATATTAGAGGAAATATCATTTTATTCTCTAAATTATCACGCGTTTTTTAATTTGATTTTCATATTTCGATTTATTTCAATTTAGTACTTGAATTTTTAGCAAATTGACCAATTTAACTCCTACCATCACATTCCGTCTACAATTGGACGAAATGTGCTGACGTAGTACTAAAATTCATTTAGAGTCATTTTATCCTCCAAACTACACTTTAAAAATCAGTTTGCGCCTGTAAAATTCAATGTATAAAGAAAATTGTATTATTGATTGATTTGTTATTGATTGATATATCTGTATGTTACAATTCCTATATATAGAGGAGAAGATGGTAGTAGGTGTAGGTGGTAGTGGAGGTGGTAGGTGGAGTGGGTGGTAGTGGAGGTGGTAGGTGGGTGGTAGTTTACATTTTACAATTTACATTTTACATTAACAGAATCCAATGATATGTTCCACCAAATCCGGTAGATCTTTGTGAGAAAATCAAATTTTTTTTTTTCATAGACCGGTGTGAGAAAAATCATTGATTGATGAATATTTGCTAATCAAACCGTTAGTCAAGTTTGGCCGTGTGGGATACAAACGAGATATGTGACGCGATCCCCTGATGCTGATGGTCCGCTAATGACTACACTAATTAGGCCTAGTTTAATTTGTGGATAAGCAATGAGAATTGAATTAAGGATTATTTTGAAAAGTTAGTTAAAAATTAATTTTTTAAACTTTTTTTTAATTATTTTTGAAAAAATGTATAAAAAATTAAGAAATAATGTGACCCAAAATACATTAAAAATTATCTTTGGGGAAATTACCCACAGGTCCCATGTGGAACATGTGGACACCATTTAATCCCCTAACTTTTTGGGTACACCCAAAAGCCCTTTCTTCCATCTCTCTGGTTTTTTCTTCCCTTTTTACGTTTTCTTCTTTCTCTTTTTTTCTACATTTTTCACTCATCGTCTTCGTCATAGACGATGGTGCAAGTGTTCATGTCTTTCTCCATTGATCGGGGTTCACTGATAACCGCCAACCATCGAAATCAACTCGTGATTTCACTCTCACCGACGGCGAAGATATATATTTCCGACGAAGAAGATGAGTGGATCTACTTAGATCTGATGTAGATCTACTCAGATCTACATCAGATCTGAGTAGATCTACATCAGATTTGGCTAAATCTAAACAAAAAATAGTTGTCGGAGTATAATCCTCTCTCTACATCCGCCTTTCTCCTTCAATCTCTTTTTTTTTTCTCTGCTATACACTTCTGTTTTTCTGTTCTAATGGAGAAAATTTTCGAATTCTGAACAAGTAGTTTTCGAGTTTTAGTTATAGGCGGTGAAAACTGTAAAATTTTGCAGTTTCAAAATTTTTTTTACAAAGACTGTATATGGTAGTGGTTGTACCTCGTGACCACTTAGATTGATGGGTTCAGGTTCCGTAAACATTGTTGGTTTAGGGATGGTTCCATGCTGCTTCTTTCCAAAACTCTTGATAGAGCTTGCTCTGAGTATTTCCTTCATTTTTGTTCTTCTAATGGGAATAGTTTCTTCTGGGCACCTTCCATTTAAGTGCCATAGCTGAGTAATTGACTTTGATATTCCTTCATTGGAGTTTGGAATGGATTGCTTGTTCTCTTCAAATAGCCCTTCTGGGTGATAACTTGGCCTCATCTATTATTGGCACAAAACACTCCATTAGAAATGGGTAAGCTTTAGCCCTAACAGTAAGGATCTTGTAGTTAATAGTTGGAGCAGATTTGAGAAACAAAAACATTAAAAATGGGTAAGTTTTCACCCTAATTGTAAGACTTGTAGTTAGTGTCTGAATTGGGGGGGTGGTACGTCCATTAGGCAGTTAAACAACTGGTTAAGGACCCATATTTGAAAAAGTCTCAAGTTTTTAAGCCACTTTAATAGTAATATTATATACGGTGCTATTAAGCAAAAGGTTGGGTGCATCTTTTTTTTTTTTTTTTCGAGTTTAAAAATAAAGTTAACAAGGTCTCACATGCTCAAATCATTCCATATTTGTACTTAATTAAATATATAAAAGACATATATACTAAATATTCTAGATAAAAGAAATTTATATTCTGGCCCCAAAAATAGTCATGTGTTAGAAACCTAACATCTTCTCTCTAAAGTTGATTGTAAAATTATTTAGTAAATTGAAAAATATGTTAGAAAATTTTTATTGTAAACACTTAATTAGTAATTTAGTATCTCATAAACACTTACTTAGAAAATACGTTAGATAATGATTTTTTTGGCAACTTCAATTTGAAATTAAAGTGGGACCCAATCGCTGGTTGAGGTGGGTCTGAGTGGTTTTGTATAATCTTAAGTGAGAAGATTGCAATACAAAAATAACGAGCCGAAACCATTGAGTGGTAAATGAGAATTGTCTCATAAAGTAAACATCAATAAAGTTGGGCTTAGATTTGGAATGAATCTTGATTTGGACTGGGCTAGGCTTGTGTTTGTGCATGTGCTGGGTTTGGTCTTGGTCTTGGACGTAGACTTGGACATGGACTTGGACTTAATCTTGAGCTTGGGCTAAGCTATGTTCTAGCTTGTGCATGTGTTTGAGGCTTGGATCGAGTTGTGACCTAACATTA